ATAATTTACTTTATTGGTGTTGATTTCTGCTGGCAGCAATTAGTTTTTGCAGAAGCCAATGCCTGACCACACAGTGGCTGCTTCCCCCGCTCGTTTGCTTTAAGTCTCGGTGTTAATTGTCCTTTTTCTCCCAGCTGCTTGCAGGGACTGAGTGTCTAGGTGCTGGCTGAGGAGTGCCTGGGTTTGTGCTGGGAAAAACAGCTCCAGGGTGCTGGAAATCTGGAGGGGAAGGGGAGGAGCAGGCTTTTATTTGCTGAAAGGCAAGAGGAAAGAAAGCATTGAGATCTGGTGCTGCTGACTGCCTCTCCAAGGGATGCTCCCCACAGGATGCATGGAACTTATATGGCATGAAGTTTTGGGGGATTGGAGAGCAGCCAGGGAAATTGAGGGTCCCTAGGGTGCTGTTCTTTGCTCAGGATGCCTTGCATGGTCAAAGTCCACCATCTCTGGTTCCCTGGGGAAGTTGTGACCCAGCACAGGAGCCCTGGAGACTCACTCTGTGAGACACAGGGATGGAGATAAATGAGTGGAAAGGATGGCCCAGAACTGGTCCTGGCTTCAACTGGTGCCCAGAGGATGTGTTTTGCTGGTGCCACCAGTGCTGGGGTTGGACTGGGGCATGGCAGGTATGAATGAAGGATGATGGGCTGCTGGTGGGATGCTGGGGAGGAACTGGGAGTGCTGGGAATGGACTGGGGGATGCCAGGAAGGGCTGGGGATTGCTGAGGAAAGTCTTTGCAGGGTGTTGTGGAGGAACTGAGAGGTGCTGAGTTTGGATTCAGATGTGCCTGGAGGGGCTGGGGGTTTCCTTGACTGGGATCAAGATGCCAGGCTGGAACTGGGAGGGCATCTCTGCTGGAGCCAGACAGGTTTCCCAGCATCAGTCACATCCAGACTGGTCCCTCTTGGTGCTGTCAGGAGGTTTCTGCAGAGCTGTGGTTTCAGAAGCACCCTTTGTGCTTTGGGCTCAAAGTCCTACAGGGTCTGAACTCAGCACTGGAGAGTAAATGGGGAGCTGGGGCTCCTGAATCCAGAGGGTTTCAGCAAGTGATTCTCCCTGGGGATGGGAAGCCAAGGAGAGAGAGTTTGTGGAAGGCACAGGGACCCTCACCCATCCTTGAGTGGGGCAGTGCTTGGAGCACAACATGGGAGGGAGAAGAAAGCACAAAGCAGGATTTGTTGAGCTGGGTGGAGGTGCTCAGGACTGTGGAGATGCTCAGGGCTGTGGAGATGCTCAGGGCTGTGGAGATGCTCAGGGCTATGGAGATGCTCAGGGCTGAGCCTGCTGGAGATGTTTTGCCAAAATCCCAGAGAGATGCTGCCGTCCCACTGCTCCAGAAAATTCCACTGGGTACCAAACAGGTGTCACTGGGGTCTCCTTGAGCATCTCTGATGTCGTTCAAGGGCTCAGCACCCAAAGAATACCCTCCAAGGCAGGCAGGATGGAGCCAGGGATGTGCAGGACGGTCTCCCTGGCAGGGTGTGCATTTGCCTCCAAGCATCACTTGCTTCAGGCTCCCAGGATGGCTCACAAAACCATGTAAGCTCCTGTAAAACCATATTAACTTTGGGCTGAAAACTATTTAAGTTTAGAAACGTAAGGGATATAAAGGGATTTCCCCTGGAGGCATTAGCAGCACGGAGCTGGAGCGCAGCACGATGTCAGGGGAGTAGGATGATGTTAATTTTTAGGTTTTACTCATGAAATGGGCACGTGGAGCTTGGGCTGGGCGTGCTGGGGGTTTGGAGGTGCCACTCGGTTCTGGTGCTCCTGGAGGTGATTTGTAGGTTCCAGAGTGCTACCAGCAGGATGAGTACAGAGATTTGCTCTGGGGGGAATTAACTGTATTTTTTTGGTGCATCCAAGGGCCAGGCTTTGCAGCTGGAGCTCTTTGTGGTGGCTGCTGGGGGCATCACCTGTAGGATCCAGGTGGGCTGGGGAAGGAGCCTTGTCCCCAGTTTTGGCTGTGGAAAAACACCCCGTGGTGGCTCCTGGGGCCGTGTTTTGCCTCGCTGTGGAAGCCAAGGTGTGGGAACAGGGTGACTCCTGGCTCTGGATGCTGGTGCCCAGCGCTGGCAGGATGTGGGACCTGGCTCTCACTGCTGTGACCAACCCCATGCACCACAGCTGTGCTGTGTCCCCAAGGCCACACTGGGACCCCCATCCCCATCACAAGCAGGAGGGCAGGGGAAGGGATTCTGCCCCTGTGAGGGGCACTGGTGAAGCCACCCCTGGAGTGCTGTGTCCAGTTCTGGCCCCTCAGCTCAGGAAGGACATGGAGGGGCTGGAGCAGGTCCAGAGAAGGGCAACGAGGCTGGGGAAGGGTCTGGAGCACAAGTGCTGTGAGGAGCAGCTGAGGGAGCTGGGGGGGCTCAGCCTGGAGAGGAGGAGGCTCAGGGGGGACCTTCTCACTCTCTGCAACTCCCTGACAGGAGGGGAAGCCGGGGGGGGTCGGGCTCTGCTCCCAGGAACCAGCAGGAGGACAAGAGGGCCCAGCCTTGAGCTGCCCCAGGGCAGGTTTAGGTTGGACATTGGGAAGTTCTTCCCAGAGAGAGGGATCAGACACTGGAATGGGCTGCCCAGGGAGGGGGTGGAGTCCCCGTCCCTGGAGGTGTTTGAGCAGAGCCTGGATGTGGCATCAGTGCCATGGTCTGGGTGACAAGGTGGGGTTGGGTCACAGGTTGGACTGGATCATCTCAGAGGTCTTTTCCAACCTCGTTGATTCTGTGATTCTGTGGAAAGCATCCCAGCTCCCACAGATGCTGAAATAAGGCAGGGAAACCCCTGGGTTGTGTTGAATGATGGGCTGTGTGCCCATCACTCTGCACAGCCCTGGGCAGCAGTGCTGAGCAGCTCCAACAGCCTCTTTGCTTATTCCCTCCCATGAAATGCTGCAGCCTGGTTCTCCCCACTTTTTAAAGCCAACTTAATCACTGGAAGGTTCCCCAACCTGCTTGAACATCCTGGAATGTGCACGGGGGGCTGTGCCAGGGGGTTGCTCTCTGTTAAAGCCGCTGGGGTTTCTCACACTGAGGATGTGCTTAAAAGCAGACCAAGGCCAGATTTTTATTATTCTGTTTGCAACATCATTTTCTGCTTCCATAATACACATCAAATTGTAGCAAGAGTTGGGTTTGTGGCTTCTGGGAGGGAGACCTGGCAGTGCAGGACCATGGGATGTGCAAATCCCATCCCCCAGCCCGGCTGGGAAGAGGAGAAAACACATGAAAAAAGGTATTGCTTTTTATGTTTAAGTTTGGAAAGGATTCCTGGGGTGCCGAGGGAGCAGCAGGGACGTGCACCAGCAGTGCCTGCCTGTGGCTGTGCAGCGCTCACCTGACTCCCTGTCACCTCCCACTCCTTTGGGATGCTAAATATATCCCGAGCCGGGCGGGGGAGCGCGAACGGCCGTTGTGTCTGTGCCGGTGGATATTTGCTGCTTTTTTCCCTGTTTGTGCTAATTCTGTAGCGTTTCCAGCCCTGTCTAAATAAAGTGAAGGTGATTTGCAGAAGAGGAGGAGAAGCTGATCAGCTCTTGCTCCCGGGCAAGCAGCGCATCACTTGAGCTTCTTATAGGTGTTCATTTGAATATGTTCATTTAAATCCCTTTTTTTTTTCCCCAATTAAAATAAAGAGAGGGGTTTTTTTTTTTGAAAATTATTTCTTTTTAGATTTATTTTTAAACCAATTTAAATCAGATGCTGGGACAGCTTTAATACACAAAGTAGATTTAATGCAGTTGATTTGGGCAGGCCCTGGCAAAGGTTGCTCAGAGAAGCTGTGGCTGCCTCTGATCCCTGGAAGTGTCCAAGGCCAGGTTGGATGGGGCTTGGAGCAACCTGGGCTAATGGAAAGTGTCCCTGCTCATGGCAGGGAGGGGAGTGAGGTGAGCTTTAAGGTCTCTTCCAACCCAAACCATTCTGGGATTCTGTGATTTACAGTTTCTAAAGGCTTTGGTGATGTATTTGTGGATGAGCTGCTGCCGTGCCAGGCTCTCTCTCTGAACCTTGCTCTGTGTTTGCTCCTTATCTCCACTGTATCAATACTTCCCTCTATCTTTCCAACCTTAGAAACCACCTTGGATGGCAGAAAGAGACCAGGGCTCAGGAAATAAAGGTTGTTTTTTAAGGGATGAGAGCACCAAGCTCTTGCTCTTCATTAACAAACCTTTAGGGACTAATTGGCTGAATCACAGCTCTGCCTCAGCACATCTTGACAGAGCTCATTTTTCCGAGTGAGATGATACCCCGACGTTGTTAAAAACCCTGGGAAAATGAATTAGTGATCCCGAGTGTGCTGGTTTAAATGAGCTGGAGCAGACGTGGTGCGGGGCAGCCGCGGGCTCTGCGGGCAGGATGCTGCAGGTGCAGCGAGGCCGAGCATGGCGGGTTTGTGTCTCCTTCTGCACCCCCAGCGCTCCTCACTAGCAAAGACAGCGGATGACATGGGCTCTGGAGCGGTAAATCCATCCCCAGTGAGTGGCAGGAAGGGTTCTGGTGAGGCCCCAGGCAGCAGCTGCCACCTCAGATCCAGTGGCTGTGTCCGAGGAGGCTCAGCCGTGTGGACGGGCTGTGTCCTTGAAATCCTCACTGCTGGGGGTGTGCAGAGCCCAGGGAGCTGCTTTCCTGTGTCCACACACCACCTCCCTCTGCAGCACTGCCCACTTCCTGCTGGGAGTTCAGCACCCCTGTTTTGCTGGGGATGATGGAAAAATAAGAGGGAGATCAGCAGTGAACCCTAAACTGGTGTGATGCACGAAGAGTTCCTTTCCCACCCAAAACATTCTGGGATTCTGTGATTTACACTTTCTGAAAGGCTTTGGACGTGGTTCCTTTGCTTCTTTAGGAGATGAGACGGTGGCTGATGAGAGCAGAGATCCTTAAATCAGCACCTGCATCCCAATGGAAAAGCACATTCCGGGTGTACCTGGTGTGCAGCCAGGCGCTGCCACGCTTGCCAGAGCCCTCACCAAGGCTTTATCTTCTTTCTTGTCTTGCAGAGCCGAGAAGACTGAAGTGTTGAGCGAAGATCTCCTGCAGGTGAGGTCCTCTGTGAGCTCTGACCCTCTCCCAGGTGTCCATGGGTGCCTGGGCACTCACCTCTGGGTGCTGGCTGGGGTCAGCAGCTCCATGTCGGTCGGTGCTGCAGCGTCCCACAGGAATGAGACGGGCTGGGAGGAGGAGGGGGGGCTGGGAGCGTGGGAAGCAGCAGTGTCTCCCTCCCACGTGCCTCCTGGCCCTTTCCCAGCCTGGTTTCCAGGTCAGCTGGAATCGGATCCAGTCTTGTCTCTGCCAGGATGGCAACCTGATCCAGCCAGCCAGATTGTGGGCGCCTGTTCTCCATATCCTGCCCCAGGGAAGGGACATGTGACAGCAGGGGATGGTTCCCAAAGCTGATGGGTTGGGTGATTTCAGCCAAACAGCTTGAGCCAAAAGCCTCTGATGGTGCCCTGGATTAGCAGCTGTGATGCCCATGGGGGTCATGTCTCCTGGATCCCTGCACACCCCAGGAGGGAAAGTGCCAGCGAAGCGATGTGAATTCACAAATCCATCACCAAATTCATGGATTCATAGAGTGGTTTGGTTTGGGACCTTAAAGTTCATCTTATTCCACCTCTCTGCCATGGGCAGGGACACCATCCACTAGCCCAGGTGGCTTCAAGCCCTGTCCAACCTGGCCTTGGACACTGCCAGGGATAGGGCAGCCACAGCTTCTCTGGGCAACCTGTGCCAGGGCCTCCTCACCCTCACAGGGAGGAGTTTCTTGCTAATATCCCATCTAACCCTGCCCTCTGGCAGTGGGAAACCATTCCTCCTTTTCCTGTCACTCCAGGCCCTCGTCCAAAGTCCCTCTCCAGCTCTCTTGGAGCTCCTTTAGGCACTGGAAGGAGCTCTAAGGTCTCCTTGGAACCTTCTCTTCTCCAGGCCTTGGAGCATCTCTGGCTCCAACAGTGTCACACGGGGGATGATTTTTGCATCTTTTTGGTGATAATTCAGTGGGGAGGGTGGTCGGTGCCACCTTGTCCAGGTGTCTCCCAAAGGACCAGTGTTGTTTGCAGGGGTCTTTATTTAATTAACTCCAGTTTGGCTTGTGTAGATGGGTACACACCCACATGACCATCATATCCCTTCTTTCCAACATATACACACAAACGTGTGTGTGTATATCTCTAATATATATAATTTTTATATATATTATATATATACATGTCCATGTATATATGTTGAAAGGAACATGTATGTGCTGCAAAGAGGACAGAGACTGCTCCACCTCAGCCAGATATCCTGAAGAATCTATTATTTTTAAAATAGATGTAACATTTTAAATATTACTACATATAGTATATATTATTAGTAAGATATATTAATACAGTGATGCAAAACAGCTCATCCAGCTCATCCTGCCAGGCTCCTGTGAGGTGCCTCCTGCCTCAAGGACTTGCTGCAGACTCAGGCAGGGAGTATTTCTTTTCTTCCCCCTGGATCATTTCCTGAGATTTTGAACTTTAGACCCTCTTTCTCTTTTTCCACATTATATCCCCAAATTTTGAGCTTTCCATGTTTTCCCTCCATCTCTCAGCTTTGCTTTTCAGCAGATCTTGATTGCTTGCATTTAACGGCTCATCATGCTGATTTTTTGGGCTGAATTGCTTGATTTGATCAATCCAGAGGCACATAAGGTGATTGTCAGTGATTGGCGAGTTTGTGGCAGGCCTTGGCAGGGGATGGATGCTGCCAGATCCAGGGTCAGATGGGGCACCTCTGCTCTGGGATGGCTTTGGTCTCTGCTGTTGCACCCCAGAGAGCAACAACTCAAACCACCGTGATGGAAAAGCCCGGAGTCCCCCGCGTCCCTGCCCGGGACAGGCGGGATTCCCGGGGGATGGACACCGGTGCCTCTGCAGGTGGAGAAGCGCCTGGAGCTGGTGAAGCAGGTGTCCCACAGCACCCACAAGAAGCTGACAGCATGTCTGCAGGGCCAGCAGGGCGTGGACGCCGACAAGCGCTCGGTGAGGGCTCTGGGGGCTCCGGGGGCTCGGGGGGTTCCGGGGGGTTCCAGAGTGGGAACACAGCCCCTCTCTTTGCAGAAGAAGCTGCCGCTGACAACGCTGGCCCAGTGCTTGATGGAGGGATCAGCTGTGCTGGGAGATGACTCCCTGCTGGGGTAAGGGGGGCCTGGGGCTGCCCCAGAGCTCTGACACTGCTATGGGGGTGCTGGGATGCCACTGCCAGGAGTGGCTGCCGTTCCCCATCTGTGGTTCTGGATAACAGGGAGGGTTTCCCAGCAGGATGGGAGGGCTGTGGTGTTCCTGTGAGCTCCTTAGTGCAGGGGTTTCCTTTTGTCTTCTGCTTGTCATGAGCTGGAGTCCTTTGGCCATGCAGTGTATGATCTAAACTATGTGTGTATATATATATATCTTAAGTAACTTAATATATCCATAACTTAAGAAACTGTACATATATGCTTATAAATCTTAACAGAGTCCTTTGGTCATGCAGCATACAATGTAAACTATGTGTGGATATATATCTTAAGTATCTTAATGTATCTATAACTTAAGAAACTGTGTATCTATATGTATATAAATCTTAACCAAGTCCATGCAATTCCAGATGGTAACTGGTACAAGATTTATGGAATGGGGAATGAGATTTCCTGACACCCACAGTGCCCATGGTCCCCCTTTATCCAGCCCTCCACCAAGGACAGGCTGCCCCTCACCAATCCAAGACCCCCAGGGGTGCTGGGTGCCCTTTGCCCACCCCTGTGGGGTGCAGGACAGGCACCCCCTGCCCCCCAGTGCTGCTGTGCCCAGCTGTGCCCAGCTGTGCCCGTGTCCCTGCAGGAAGATGCTGCGGCTGTGCGGTGAGGCCGAGGACAAGCTGGCACAGGAGCTCATCCACTTCGAGCTGCAGGTGGAGAGGGACGTCATCGAGCCCCTCTTCGTGCTGGCTGAGGTGAGCAGTGTGGGGGTGTCACGGGCTGGGGGTGTCCCCGTGCTGGGGACTCACAGCTGAGTGGGGAAAGCATCACTTGGGCAGCTTGTTCAGTTCCTGCAGCTGGGCTGGTGCTGGAGCGTGTCCTGCTGGGCTCCTTCGCCTGCTCCCACTGCTCTTCCTCCTTTCTGCCTTTCCCAAGGCAGGGGGTTAACACTGTCACTTCAAACCCGTTTTTCCAAGCTCCAAACACTCATTGGTGTTGTGGTTTTTTCCCCTCTCCTTTTCCGCCCTGCTGCCAGTTTTGTTTTTCAGTTTTACCAAATGCTTTTTTTCCCCTGGTCTTACACTCAGAAAAACATCCTGGGCTTGGTTCTGATTTTGTCTTCCCCAGCAGAAGCAAGAACTTTGTGGCACTACTGGTGTCCAGGGCTTTCAGCTGTTACCAAATCCTTTGGGAAGTGGTGGCCATACATGGGGGGCTTTGCACTGCCATCCCCAAAAGCCCTTTTCCTTCCTCCTCCAGCTGCCCAGGGCAGGAAGCTTTGATCCCCCAAGGATGCTCCTCTTGGGTTCTGCAGTTGGGGCTGTCAAGGTGTGGCACAGTCCAGGTGGGGACACAGAGGAAGGATGAGCTGTGCCATCTCCCTGATGATGATGATAAAATAAGGAGCTGCATCCTTATCTTGCCCCAGCCCAAACCCCCAGTGTGTGTGACCCATCCCTGGACACCTCTCCAGGGATATTTATCTCCTCCCATTCCCATGCAGGTGGAAATCCCGAATATCCAAAAGCAGAGGAAGCACTTGGCAAAGCTCGTGCTGGACATGGACTCCTCTAGGACAAGGTAGGAAGTGGCTTCAAATGCTTTATGAAAAATAAGAATTCCCAAGGGATGATTAGCTCCAGGGAGACTGGACTCCTGGCACTGCAGTTCCCTCGGGTCACTAAGTCTCTGCTGTGTCACTGTGTGCCTTGAAGTCAAGCTCTGCAGTGAGCCACAATTTCTGCTCCTGTCTGCAGAATCCATGGATTCCTTTTCCTTTTCCTTGCCTACCCTCTGCAGCAAAACAGTATGTTTTTTTTCTGGCAGAAATCTGTATTTTGTTTCCTCTTTTCCCTATCTTGGTGAGTTCTGATGTGCTGGCAAAGAGCTGGGTGTTCCTGCTTGCCCTGTGGCACTGCTGAGTTGTGCAAGCCCCCACTTCACAGCAAACCTGGGGAGAGGTTTGACAGGTGTCCCTTCACCTGTCCCCACACCTGAATGAGGCTCATTATCCTGCTGAAAATAATTACTTCATTAGAGCCCAGAATGAACAGCTGGGGATGGGAATGGTTGGGGTTGGGAGTGGGTGCTGCATCCCGGCTGGACTGGAATAATTTCCGTGGTGCTCAGCCCTGGGGACCATGGTGGGCCTGGCTGAGGGGGGTCCTGGGCTGCCCTCCAAGTCTACTGGGATGTGCTCACCAGTCCCTGCTGGTCCCTGTCCCTCCCTGTGACAGCTCTGCCCTCTCCACAGGTGGCAGCAGTCCGTGAAGTCCTCGGGCCTGGCCAGCAACCTGCAACCCTCGGGCGCCAAAGCCGACGCTCTCAGGGAGGAGATGGAGGAGGCAGCCAACAGAGTGGAGATCTGCAGGGTACCCAGGGCTCCTGGGGGACCACTCCTTGCTGGGGGGAATGGCCTTGGTGTCCCAGACACTGTGGAAAACCTGCAGCCTCTCCTCTTACCCTGCTCTTCATCTTTCTTACCCCACTGCCTGTGCTAAACCCTTCTTTGGCTGGTCCCCATCCCCAAACACAGCTCAGTGGCAGTGGGTGATGCTCACTGGCCAAGCAGGGCATCCACAGTTCCACTTTCCCCATCCTCCTTATCCCACTGGAGCTGGAGAGCACCCCATTCCCAGGGGACCCATCCTGGCAGGAGCCAGTGAGCTCAGCACTGAGCTCACCCAGCCCTGGCACAGAGACCTGCTGTTAGAGACATTTCTCTTCCTTCTCTATGCTGGATTTATTTCCCATCATTTTCAAGCACTAAGAGGGACTTGAACCCTTCTGTGGATTAAGGGAGACTCAGATCCCCCTTCTATGTGCACCTCATGGGGGTCTCAGACCTCCCTGCACCTTGCACTGCTCAGACTGTGCACTATAAACAAGCTGCAAGGCTTCCCAACACTAAGAGGGTATCAAGTCCACAGTATCTTCACCAAATCTGCTCAGTGAATTTTATCACTCACCCTTGAGTGCCTCCCACTCTGTAGGTGCCAGGTGAGCTCACCCACTGCTGGCCAGTTGGATGTTTGGTGGCAGGAGGATCTGAAGGTGCTGGCCTGGGATTCCACCTGAGTCACCAAATTTCTCTCCTTTAGATTTCCCACAGAACAGTCTCAGACATTCAGTTCCAGGAAAAAATAATTTAATAATTGTGTGGTACAGCAGTGGGAACAACTCCATCTGGTGGAGCTGTCCAGGGACCCTGAACGAAGAAAACCTGGGTCTTTTTATACCCATTCAGTTGATGTCCCCATTCTTGCTGTGCTCACACCTCTTGGTCCTCTGGTGATTTTGGGTCTGGGGTCCTCTAACACCTCATTGGATTCTCTCTCCATGTCCACACAGACAGGACAATAGCTGTTCTTACCTTCTGTCTGGTGTAGCTCAGTAACAAGCTTGATTTATGTTTACCCTCCACCTTATCTCTGCCAACGTCTCATCCCTTTTGTGTTGCCTGTTCTTGAAGGTCTTTTCCCTTGAGTCCTCTTATCTGGTGGCATGAGTGGATCCAGTCTCCATTTCCTTCCCTGCTCACACTAAATTTTGGGCAGGGCCCACTGTGATGCAAATGTAATCACACAATTAATTTCTAATATTCTGTAAGTAAATTTAATTGAATCCCCAACAACTGCAGGAAGTGCTGGCATGTGCCAAGCCCATGTCACCCCCTGCCATCCCACAGGGCCATGACCTCCCCAGCTGGTTATGCTGCGTGGGAGAAGAGTCCAAGCCAGGGGGGGACACTGCAGCCAGCACCTTTGTCGTGGACTGTGGGATTCAGTGATAAAAACCCACTGGAAGTTTTGTGTGACTTTGAATTCTCCTGGGGCAGAAAACACCAAGGGCTGGGCAAACCTGGTGCTGTGGCATTGGGCAGGTTGGGAGCAGGAGATGGAGCTGTGTGAGTGTCTCAAATCCTGGCTCTGTCCTCCAGGGGCACAAACAGAACCCACATCCTTTGAAATACAAACTCAGGCTGTGTCTCCCCATCTTGGGGCATCTCAGCCCCACATACCCAGCAACTTCCAAGCAAACAAGTGCATGGGAACTGCCCCTGATATGTTCACTCTGCTGGTGCTGGATGTTGCAGCTGGAATGTATTTTAAAGGCTGGATGGTTTTCCTCTGGTTAAAATATCCCAGGGGATTCTTGGAAATGAGTAATCTGGGAAGTGGCAAAGTCTTTGTTTTGCGAGCGTGACATTTCCACGGTGCTGGAAAACTGTGGGCTCTGGAAGGAGGTGCTGGGGGGTGAGGTGGGAGGTGTCTGCGTGTTGGCAGAGAGCAAATCCCCGTGGGGCTGCCATACACTCAACATCCCAAGCACACCTCGAGTGGGGGCTGCACTGTGCCACGCTGTGCCACTCCTGGCGTGACCAAGCTGGTCCCTCCTGGTGACCCCCTGTGACAGTGACTGACCCTCTGCTCTCCGCAGGACCAGCTCTCGGCCGACATGTACAATTTTGTGGCCAAAGAAGTAGACTATGCAAACTATTTCCAAACTGTAAGTGCCTCCCGTTCCCCCCGGGGCTCCCCCCGTCCCTGTCCCCGGCCGTGGGGGTGACGCTGGCTCTGTGTCCCCGCAGCTCATCGAGGTGCAGGCCGAGTACCATCGCAAGTCCTTGGCGCTCCTGCAGAACGTGCTGCCCCAGATCAAAGCCCAGCAGGGTGAGTGCCCACGGGGTCTGTCCTGGTCCTGTGTGTGTGACACCGAGGCCCCGGTGTCAGGCCAGCACCAGAGCTGGCTCTGGGGTGACCCCGCAGTGTTGTGGCTGAGCATCTTCCCTTTGCTTGTCCTGTCTGCATCCCACCTGCTGTGGTGATGGAGAGGGCATCCCATCCCTACCCCACTGGGCTGTGGGATGCAGGATCCAGCCAGCTTCATGGAAAGGGAGAACCTGCCTGATTGTGGCACAGGTTGCCCAGAGAAGCTGTGGCTGCCCCATCCCTGGAAGTGTCCAAGGCCAGGTTGGACGGGGCTTGGAGCAACCTGAGCTAGTGGAAGGTGTCCCTGTGCATGGCAGGAAGATGAACTAGATGGTCTTTTAAGTTCCTTCTGACCCAAACCATAATTTTATGATCCTGGCAATGAATCCTGTCCACTTTAAGGTGGGTTTTTTCTCTGTTAACCATACCTTCTCCCCTCTCAAAGTGAGGAACTGTGGAGAACACCTTGGAAAAATCAAAGCAATCTTGGCAGACCTGCAAAAACTGATTTATCAGCCAGCAGCAGGGAGCTGTAATCAGATAAACTCCATAGTTACAGGTTTGATGTTGAATGCCACCACCTGCCCTAATGCCAGCCCCAATGCTGAGGGGTGTCCCTCTGTGGTGTGCAGCCTCTGTAGGCACTGGCTGGGAGCCTGAGGTTGAGGTGAGACCCATATGATGGCCCCAGGAGCATCTCCTTCATGAGACAGAGCTCAGGATCCTGCCATCACTGCAATGGGGCAGGGAAGGATTAATTTGGTTTTTTTCTCTCATTGCCACAAAATATTCCTGCCTCTGACTGTGATGGAAGAAGGCAGAAATATTGCAAAGGTTTGCCTGTCATTGCCTGCCCTGGAAAACGTTATCCAGCCCCTTTGAAATGTCCCATATGATGACTGGAAAACAGTTTGTTTGGATTTTCTGTTTAAAGAGCACTTCCTGGGCCGCCCAGGACAGAGGGTCGGGGTCCTGTTGTTTTGCCATCACCCAAACGGAATATTTTGCTACCAAGAGCCTTTCAGGGAGGGGATGCTGAATCCAGCACCATCCTCCTCATCCTGTCACCCCCTTTGCCTGTCACAGAGGCGTGGATGGAGAAGCCCTCCTTTGGGAAGCCCTTGGAGGAGCACCTGGCCGTCAGCGGGCGGGAGATCGCCTTCCCCGTGGAGGCGTGTGTGACCATGCTGCTGGAGTGTGGGATGCAGGAGGAGGTGGGTCCCACGCCCAAGCACCCTTGGTGGGCCTGATGGAAGGGGCCGTGGGTGCCTCTGGGGCAGGGATGAGGAACTGGGGGGGCTCTGGGGACACCACCAGCTTGTCCTACGCTCTCCCATGTCCTCTGCCAAGGGTCTGTTCCGAGTGGCTCCCTCGGCCTCCAAGCTGAAGAAGCTGAAGGCAGCCCTGGACTGCTGCGTGGTGGACGTGCAGGAGTACTCAGCTGACCCTCATGCCATCGCAGGTGGGGGCTCCTCGGGGCAGGGGGGCTGCTGGGGTGGGGGGTGGCCCATCCAGGCCCCCACGGTGGGCACCCAGAGGGTGGATCAGTGGCACGAGGTGTAGTTGGATACCAGTAACCAGTGGTGTGGTCCAGGGGTTGAGACTGGGTCTGGTTTTGTTTAACGCCATTAATTAAAGACCTGGCCGATGGGGCAGGGTGCACCAGCAGTGAGCTGGCAGATGGCACAACCTGGGGCTGCCCCAGAGCCCTGCTGCCATCCAGAGGGACCTGGACAGGCTGGAGATGGGCAGAGGGGGCCTGGAGCTCCAGCAGGCACAGGGTTGAACCCTGGTTTCCCACTGGGAACCTGTTCCCAGCACGAGGAGCTGTGAATGTCCTAAGCAAAGACAAATGAGAGAGAGCTGGGAGAATGCCTGGTGGAGGGAATTAAGGAGGTGCTGGGAGGCACTAGTGGGGGTGGCAAGGTGGGTGCTGGAGGTCAGGGGGTGCTACAGGCTCCATCAAGCCGGGGAGACTAGCGAGTGCTCTGGGCTGTGGTGGGTGGGAAGGCTGGGAGGGGTGGGAGTCAAAATGCCCAGGAGCGAAATCACTTGGTGCCCAACAGCCAGTGCCACCCGCAGTGCCAATGCCTGTGTCCCCTGTGTGCCACAGGAGCCCTCAAGTCCTACCTGCGAGAGCTGCCGGAGCCCCTCATGACGTTTGAGCTGTATGAGGAGTGGATCCAGGCCTCCAAGTGAGTCTGGGGTGTCTCCCCCGTTCCTCTGTGACACAGGTGGTGGCACAGGTAGTTTGGGGGCTGTGAGTCATTTCTGACACGGCTCACAACATTTGGGATGTTTCCCTTGGGGTCTGAGAGCCAGGAGGTGGGGAGAGGCCCAGCATCCAACCTCCACTGAAAAGGTTTCCTCCTCCTTTTTGCCAGGTTTTGGGGATTAATTTACTTATATAGGGTTAGCAGCAACCTGAGGGTTTCTCAGGGTCCCCTGAGCAGGGATGGAGGGGTCTAAAGCCCAGGAGTGGGGTGGGGATGGGGATAACACTCTCTCCCACCTCCTCACAGCATCCCAGAGCAGGAGAAGCGGCTCCAGGCTCTCTGGAACGCCTGTGAGAAGCTGCCCAAAGCCAACTACAACAACATCAGGTGAGCCTGGGGCCAGCAGGACACAGGGAGAGGACAGAGAGGGTGTGATCAGTAAATACACGGTCATGCTTTGGATCTGCCCTCCAGGTATGTGATTAAATTCCTGGCCAAGCTGACTGAGTACCAGGACATGAACAAAATGACACCGAGCAACGTGGCCATCGTGCTGGGGCCCAACCTCCTGTGGCCACAGGCAGAAGGGTGAGGAGTTGGACAGAGGGATGCTTGGGAAGGGGCTGAGGGGAAAACTGGGGGTCAAATCCCACTGGAAATAAGGCTGGACTGCGCTGGGGTTGCTGAGGGGCTGAGGTTGCTGTCCTGCCCCACCACCTTGCAGGAACATGACGGAGATGATGACGACCGTGTCGCTGCAGATCGTGGGCATCATCGAGCCGCTCATCCAGCACGCCGACTGGTTCTTCCCAGGAGGTAGGCTGTGGCTCTGGGGACAGGATGGGCTCTGTAGGACCTCCTGGCTCTCCCTAGGGAGCTCCCAGATGTATTTTTGCCAGCCCTCTCTGCCTGCCTTGGCCTAGGGCAGGGGCAGGGCAGGGATCTGGCAAGACTCACAGCAGCGAGCCCAACCCAAGAGCCCCCTGGGTGCTTCTGCGGAGCCAATACCCCCTCACTGAGGATTCTTATCCCTCCCTGCTCCTTTCCCACCCCCCAGACATTGAGTTCAACGTGACAGGCAACTATGGCAGCCCCATGCACGTCAACCACAACGCCAACTACAGCTCCATGCCCTCTCCGGACATGGACCACGCCGACCGCCGGCAGCACGACCAGGCGCGGCGGCCCCTCAGCGTGGCCACGGACAACATGATGCTGGAGTTCTACAAGAAGGATGGGTAGGGTCTCTGAAGGGCCAGGGTTTGGGGAGAGGGAGGTGGTGGCTTTGCCAGTGTCCCTGAGATAGGAGCAGCATCCTGGGGGGCACCTGGAGAAGGTGTTCAGCATCCCTGGCTTTGCCACAACTGCGAGATGGGGTGACATGGAGCTGGTGGAGGTTGGGTGGTCCTGGGGTGGGAGAACCCCCTGTTGTCCATACCAGCCTCTGGACGATGCTCAGGTGAGCCCAGGGCTTGGCTCCCACCCCCAGCCCACTGCAGATGGGAGTGGGGTGGCCCGTGGTGTGACACCAAGGCTGTGCTGTGCTGCAGACAGGTGCCCTGGTCTCCCCAAGGTCTGCAGGCTTTGCTCCAGGGGAGAGCTCCCCATTCCCAGCCTGTGCATGTCCCACCCATGCTACCTCCCAGGGACTGCAAATAGCCAGATCAATTCCAGAAAACACCCCAGGGCTCTCCTCATCACAAAAAAAAAGTCCCCATTTCCAGAAAATGTCCCAATCTGTCCCTCCCACTGGCATAGCCTGGTCCCTGCTGTGCAGTCTCTCTAAGCCCCTGGGCCTCACAGCTCCTTTGCCCAGCATTGGGCTCTCGCTGCACTGCCCAGTGTCAGGGGATTTATCACACTAATAATTGTGTGTTTCTGCCCATGCAGCCTTAGGAAAATCCAAAGGTACTGTATCCTCTGCAGTGGTTCTGGGAAGCTGCTGGGATGCTGGGAGGGTGCTGGGTGGGTGCTGGGACAACGCTGCTGGGGGAAGGGAGAGGTGGCTGCTGGGAGACACAGGCACGTCCCACCCTGCCCTGGGTTCATTCCCAGCAGTTTCCCAATGGAGGAGGCGTTTTTAGGAGCCAGGCACCTCGCAGGAGCCGCGACGCGGTGCTGGCGGTGCCCTCCCGCCGGGCGGGTGCCGAGCCCCTGTCTCTGTGTGCCCCCAGCATGGGCGTCCGGGTGATGGACACCTCGTGGGTGGCTCGCCGAGGCACCTCCGCGGGTCGCAAGGCATCCTCCGCCCCTCCGTCCGCCCAGCCCCCCGCGCCGCCCGCCGAGCTGCCCCCCACGCCCCACTCGCCCATTCCCGAGCAATCGCCGGAGATTTCAGCCGCGCCTTCCCCGCCTCCCACCAGCTTCGGCTTCCCGCCGGGAACCGAGCGGACAAGGTAAGGCCACCGGCGCCCCGTGTCCCCAACCGGGGCACCCTCCCCGTGTGTCAGTCCGGCAATAAAACAACCCCACTGCGCGGGAGAGATGTTCGGCATTCCTGGGAGCGGAGCAGCATCCTGGAGGCAGTGGGTGGAATGATGCTCAGCATCCCTGGGAGAGGAGCAGCATCCCAGGAGCAGCAAGAGGGGATGCTCAGCATCCCTGGGAGAGGAGCAGCATCCCAGGAGCAGCAAGAGGGGATGCTCAGCATCCCTGGGAGAGGAGCAGCATCCTGAGGGCAGCAGGAGAGGATGTTCAGCATCCCTGCAGCCACCGCCACATCCCCGTCTTGCCATTCCCATGGGAACTATGCTGCCTTCAGGGATTTTTCCCAGTGTCCCTTGCCTGGGTGTAGCAGAATTTGGGTTGAAGGTGCCAGGAAGATGCAGGGAAAAGCCACAGGGAGCCAAGAGACCCCCGAGCCCTTTGGCTGCCGAGGGTCTGCCTCCGACTTTAATTTGCACAAGTCAGATGGGAGAAAGCTCCTAAATCTCACTTTTTTTGCCCCCAAAATGGGAGCAGAGCTGGACTCTGCCCTGGAGTGCACACATTGGGTGGGGAGGAACAGCCCCGGGTGGGATGTGCCATGGGACGAGCAGAGGGATTCGGCACCGCAAGGGCTCCCCTGCCGCTCCCCCGCCCTCCCCGCCAGCGCTTCTGCTCTTTTATTATTTCTTCCTCCCTTTTCTATTCTTTTTTTGCTGTTTTTTATGGTGCTTCTGTACATTTGCAGCAGGGCTGACCTGGCATCTGCCTGGCGCAGTGGCGGCCCCAGCGCCCCCCGCCCCGGGGACGAGCGGGACCCCCCGTGCCCCGGCCCCTGGTCCCGTCCCCCTCCCTGGGCACAGCCCCTCTGGCCGGGCTGCAGCCGCAGCCTCCCCGCTCCCCGCGCCCCCTCCTCGCTGCTCACCCCCCATCCCTGCTCCCTGCACTACCCCCCGTTGTCCCCGTGGCACTGTCCCTCCCTGTCCCCGTGGCTCTGCCCCCCCGGCGGGGTCCCCCCGCGCCCCCCTGCCCCGGGGCAGCCGCCCGCCCGCCCGCGCCGCAGGACTCGGCCCCCCGAGGTAACCGCGGGGACACCGACGGGGGGCGGGGGGTGTCACCTCTGTCCGGGGGGACCCTCGGTCATGGGGGGGGTGGCCACAAGCAACTGGGGCTGAGAACGACCCTGGGGGGCAGCGGGAGGGGGGCACTGGGTGCTGGGTGCGGGAAGGACCTCACGGCTCTCCCTCTTCTTTCTTCTGCTATTTGTTTTAAATTTTCTTTTTTCTTTCCTGTTGTTGTGACTAATTTTTCGCGTTTGCATTTTATTTATTTTTTAATTTATTTTTATTTTATAATTTTTAAAATTAATTTTATTTTTCAATTTAATTTCTCATTATATTTGAGTTTTACTTTTTGATTCTTTAATTTTTATTATATCTTTTATTTTTATTCTTTTACTTTTGATTCTTTGAATTTTTAATTTTTACATTATGCGTTTTATTTCTCTTTCGATTTATTTTCCTTTTATTTCATTTTTAATTTAATTTTTACTTTTTATTATTCTCCTTTTTTATGTTTTATTCCTTGCTTTTCCTTTCCCTTTTGATTTTCTCCTTTCTCTTTTCTCCTTTCTCCTTTCTTCTCCTTTCTTCTCCTTTCTTCTCCTTTCTTCTCCTTTCTTCTCCTTTCTTCTCCTTTCTTCTCCCTTCCCCTCCCCTCCCCTCCCCTCCCCTCTCCTCTCCCTTTTTTTCCTTTTCTTTTTCTTTTGCTCCTTCTTTTTATCCTTTCTCTTCTTCTTTACCTTTTTCTTTTCCATTTTCTTCTTTTCCTTTTTTCTCTTTCCTTTTCTTCTCTTCTTTCTCCTCTCTTTCCTCTCTTTCTCTCTTTCTCTCTCCTCTTCCTCCTCCTCTTCCTCTTTCTCTCTCTCCTCCTTTCCATATCTTTTTCTTGTTCCTTTTCCTTTTTTTCCTTTCCTTTCCCTCTCTCTCCCTCGTTTGTCCCCCGTCCCCCGCCCCCAGCACTTTCAAGCCCCGGAGCTCTCCCCGGGGCCGCCGCCGCCCCCGCCCCCGCCCTGCCGGCCGAGCACAGCCCGCACACCCTGCGCAAAGGTAGGAGCGGGCCAGGGGCTCCGGGGTTCCTGCTCTGTGCGACCCCCTCACCCTGACCCCTTCCCGTGTCTCTGTCCCGCAGTGGCCAAGAAGTTGGCGCCCATCCTCCCCTCGGGCGGCCGCGGGGGAGCCGGGCGGGGGCAGCCCTCCCCGCCAGCCTGTCCCCCGACTCCCCCAGCACCCCTCCCCGTACGGCCCCCGGGCCCCCTGCCCGAGCCCCGGGCAGCCCCCGCCGCCGCCGCCCCCTGCTCCTGCCGTCCCCCGCCGCCGCCGCCGCCCCCGGGCCCGCCCGACTCCCAAACCGCGGCCGCGCCCCACGCTGCTCCCCGCCGCCGCAGCTCCCCGGCCACCCCCGGTGCTCCCAGCCCCCGGAGCTGCCCTGCCTGGACGCCGCGGGCCCCGGGGACGGCGCGCTCACAGGTAACCCCGGCGGGGGCACACGGGGGCGGTGGGGAGGCTCTGGGGAGGGTGGCAGGGTGTCCCCTTCCCCCGGAGGGTGGCAGTGTCCCTGGCAAGGCAGGACTGTGCCCTGGCAGGACGTGATGTCCGCAGGAAGGTGGCAGTGTCCCCCAGGAGGGTGACAATGTCCCTGGAAAGCTGGAACTGGCCCTGGAAAGGCAAAACTGTGCCCTGGAAAGTGGCAATGCCCCCAGGAGGGTGGTAGCATCCTCAGAAAGGTGGTGGTATTCCCATAAAGGTGGCAATGTCCTCGGGGAGGCGGCAGGTGTCCTCAGGAAGGTGGCAACATCCCTGGAAAGGTGGAACTGGCCCTGGAAAGGGCATAAGTGTGCCTTTGAAGGTGGGGGTATCCCCAGGAAGGTGGCAGTTGTGGCAGTGTCCTCCAGGAGCATGGCAATGTCCCTGGAAAAGTAGAACTGTGCCCCGGGAAGGTGACGATGTCCTCAGGAGGGTGGCAGCATCCTCAGGAAGGTGATTGGTATCCCCAGAAGGGTGGCATTGTCCTCAGGAAGGTGATAGTGTCCCCGGAAAGGTGGACGGGTCACTGGTAAGGTGGCAGCATCCTCAGGAAGGTGGGGATGTCTCCAGGAAGGTGGCTGTATCACTGGCAGGGCAGAACTGGCCACAGAGAGGTTGTGCTGGCCCCAGGAAGGTGGCAATGTCCCCAGGCAGATGCAGTGTCCCCAGGAAGGTGGCAACACCCCTATGAGGGTGACCATGTTCTCAGGAAGGTGTTGATGTCCCTGGAAAAGTGAAACTATCCCGAAGAGAGTGGTGATGAGCCCAGGAATGTCATTGGGCACTTGGCTATGTCCCTTGGAAGCTGGCAGTGTCCCCAAGAAGGTGGCATTGTCCCTGGGAAGCCCCATGAGCCTCTGCTGTTCCTGCTGTTCCTGCTGTTCTGACCTCGCTGTCCCTGGGCTTTTTTGGTGTCATGTGTGTCCGTCCCCCCGCACCCCGTCCTTGCAGCAGTGGGGGCTGTTGGAGAGGGGCAGTCAGAGGGAAGCTTTGGGAAGGGCCAGGTGACATCAGGGACACCGAGGGACACAGGGGCTGAGCATGTGTGGGGTCAGGGAGCCCCCACGGGGTCTGGAGGGGCAGAGGGCTCTACCCCTGTTGCCCATCCTGGCTGCAGGACATGGGACAGCATGGGTGGCACTGAGCCCTGGACACCCTGTGGGGCAGGGCACTCCCCAGGGGCTGCCTTTGAGTGGCACCAGCAGTGCTGTGGCTCTGGCACTGCACCCTGGTGCAGCCCTGACATCACACCCTGGCATCGCCCCTGGCACACGTGCAGCTCCCCTGCCATGTGCCCTCAGGGATTGCTCTGCTCTCAGCAAGGGACACGGTGACATGGTGACCCTCTGTCACCACACGTGCAGCCTCTCCCTGTGGGTCCCCTTGGAGGGGGGGAGGGGTGGTGTCACCACCGGTTCGGGTGGGGTGGCATGGAGCAGGGTGACATCCCTGGTGGCGGCACTAACACGGTGCGAGCCCCGGTGGGTGTCCTGCCCCCGAGCCCCCTCCCGCAGTGTCCCCCATCACTGTGCCCTCCCGCAGGTCTGCTCCGTTTTGAGGTCCCCTCCCTCCACGTCCCCCCCGACGCTGCCCAGTGCCGGGACCCGCCGGAGGCAGCGCAGAGACTCTCGGGGCCGAGCCTGACCCCCCGGCAGGAGGAGGAGGAGGAGGAATCAGAGAGCACAGCCCTATGACAGTGTCCCTGTCCCCAAGCTCATCCGTGCGGCACCCAGGGGCCAGCACCGGCCACCGGCACCGAGGGGCCACGGGCGCGCCAGTTTTGGGTGGCAGAGCGCCCGGTTTGGGGGCGGTCGCTGTTCTTTATTTCATTTTTTTTCGCCTTATCCAGACTTTGCCTTTCGACCGGGTGCCTGCTCCCCCCACCCCACCCCGCAGCACCCTCCGTCCTGGGGTGACGCCACCACCTCCTCCGTGCCCCGGCGGGCGGCGGGTGCCGCTGGGTACCAGCCAGGTGACAACGAGCTCGGCGCTTTGCAGTGGGATTTCGTTCCTTCGGCTTCTTCCCCCACCGCTTGTTTGCCGGAGCAGGATGGGACCTGACCAGCAATAACCTGGGCATGTGCAGGATGTGGCCCCGCCGGGCTCTCGGGGTGCTGGTGGGCGAGGGGTGCACGTCCCTTGGCACCCGCTGTCCCTGTGGGTTGGTGGCTTTGGTCGTGCATGCACAGACAAATTAACCTTTTATCCTTTCCAGAGAGAGAAGATTCTATATATATATATATCGGCAGAGATATATATATATTATATATTTGTATATATATAGAGAGAGAAACTATAGAGAGATTTGTTTTATTTGGAGCCATTCCCGCCCAGCCGGTGCGAGAGGGAGGATGGAAATGGCAGCGCTTCGCCCCCGCCCCGCTCGCGCCGTGCCCCTCGCCCCAGGTGGGCACCCGGGGGGCACCAGCACCCCGAAGCAATCAATAAATCCAATAAATCCGTGTGCCACTCGCTGAGAACTGCCCGGAGGCACCGCCGTTTGCTTCCTGCCCCGGCAGCACCGGGCCGGCCGTCATGGGGGATGTGAGGGGAGGATTTGGGGTGGAGGAGGGTCGGGGGGTGGGGTCAGTGCGGGATGTCCTGGTCCTGGTCCCAGGGCATGGGGCAATACCAGGCATGGAGTAGTCCCAGCCTGGATTCTGAGTGGTGCCAGCATGGATTTGGGGTGGTCCTGGACTGGATTTGGGGTGATCCTACCCTGGATTTGTGCCCACTGATGGATTTAGGACATGGGCTCTTGGAAGGCACTTTGCTGTACGAAATGGGATTTAATGAGGGTTGGGGGATAAAATGATGGGGATTTTGATTTGTGTGGGATGTGATGGTCCTGGTTCCATGGGATGAGGCAGCGTTTAACCTGGGCTAGTCCCAGCCTGGATTTTGGGCAGGTTCCAACCCGACACCAGATTTAGGACTCCAGCTGTGAGAGGCACTTTGGTGTAGGAAGAGGGTTTAGTGGTTAAATAAGCTGATGGGGTTTGCTGTGTGCATGTTGTTGTGGTCCCTGTCCCACAGGGTGGGGAAACACCAAGCTTGGGGTGGTCCCAGCCCAGATTTAGGGTGGTGGGTTGAGGACAGGGACTCTCAGAGGGCTGTAGGAGGTGGGGCTTAGGGTGGGTTTGGGTGATCAAACGATGGTTTGATGCTTTATGTGGGCTATCGTGGACCTGGTCCCATGGGATGGGACAGCTTCAGGCTTAGGGTGGTCACTCATATTGGGGCTCCCACCCCCTCTCAGCTGCAGCTGTTGGATGTAGGGCAGCAGGAGGTCCTGTCCATGTCACTGCCAGCACCCATGGGTGCCCCAGGGAACCTGCCATGCCCAAGGCTGCTGTGTCCGAGTGACAACACGGGTTATGCAGGGTGACAGTCACAGATCCGGCCGGGACTGACCCCACTGAGCCCCACTCCCAGGCTGATCCCCACCCCCCCCCATGGGACACAAAGCCCTTTTTCCCCTCGGACACCTCCCCTGGCACGGACGCCCGGCTTGTTTGACGTGTCTTTAATAGAAACCGCCGGCGGTGGGGCGGAGCCCCGCGTACAAAAGCTGGCTGGAGGAATCGCGTATTGCATAGAACTGTGGTGTGGGGGACCCGCCCACCCCCCAAAATAGTCGCCTTTTAGAAAACAAAAAGCGTCTCTGAATAAAACTCTCCTGGTACAATAAATACTCTGGTGCCCTGGCGGAGCCGCGGAGCCTCCGCCCGCCTGCTCCCGGGGAAGGGGCGTGGGGCGGTGAGCGGGCAATGCCCCCGGTTTGGGATAGCCCTGGATTCAGAGCCACCGGTTTGGAATGACGCTAGTTTGGGATGTCCCCAGGTCTGAAATCCCCACCTGGGGATGGTCCCGGTTTGGAATGCCTCTGGGTCAGGATGGCCCTGGGCAGGAATGCCTTGGGTCCAGGTGCCCCATTTGGGAGCCCCCGTGTCAGCATTCCCTGTTTGGAAGGCTCTGGTTCAGGATGCCCCCTGGCTAAGAGCCTCTGGGTCGGAATACCCTGCTTTGGGATTCCTCCCGGGTCCTCAAGCTGGGATGCCCTGATTTGGGGTAGTCCCAGTTTCAGATGCCCTCAGTTTGGGAGTCCCTGGTTCGTGACAGTCCAGTTTGGGATGTCCCCAGCTTGTGATGCCTCTGGATTGGGATAACCAACCTTTGGGGTACCTGACTGCCTCCAGCTTAGGGATGCCCCGGTTCCGGGGCCCCCAAGTCAGGATACCCCGCTGGGGGATGTTCCCGGGTCGGGATGTTCCTGGTTCAGGATGGAAGCCCTTCTTTGGGATCCTCTGTTTCAGGCACCCCTGAAGTGGGACACCCGCAGTTCGGGAGCTCCCAGTTTAGTTCGGGACCCCCTGTGTGGGTGCTGGGAGGCGATGCCCCCCCCCATCTGCAGCTCAGAAGCTGGACTCTGGCACGACCGCGGGGCGCAGGGGGCCGAGGGGCTGCCGGCCCCGCTGCAGTGTGGCCCCGGGGACACCCCGGGCGGGGAGGGGGGTTCCCCCCGCGCCCCTGCCCAGCGAGGCAGATCGGCGCAGACCCCCCTCTGGCCGAGGTGGAAGACTGGCCGAGCTCCGCGACCGCCCCAGCGCCGGGGGGCCGGGGGGGCGCCGGCCCGTGGGGACACCCGCGTCCCCCTCGGGCAGCACGATCCGGGGGGGGACCCCAACCACGGGGCTGCCCTGGCCCGGGGGGGGCCGGCGCGGGGTCCCCTCGGCGCTGGCTGCCCGGCGGAGCCGGGTGGGCCGTCGGAGACCGCGGGGGGGCCCCGGCTCGCCCTGCCCCGGGGGTCCGACGGGCGCGATCCGCACGCTGAGGCTGCGACCCTGCAGACCCCGCACCGGGGGTCGCGCCTCGAACCCGCCTGCGGGGGAACCTCGGTCAGGAGGGCTCGGGAAGTCCGGGGGGCGGGGGGGCTTGCGGGGCCGAGCCTCACCGTTCTCCGGGGCGCTGGAGGAGCCGGAGGAGTCGGGGGCAGTGCCGGGGTCCGTGCCGGCCAGGCGGAACAGCCAGTGCCCCGGGGGGGCGGCAGAGCCTGCGGGGAGCGGGGGGCGCTGGGCCGGGGGCCGGACCGGGGTCCTGCCGGGCCACAGTGAGGCAGCTGGGGGAGCGGGGCGGGGGATCGGCCTGGGGGCGTTGCATGGGCATGTAGGTGTGTGTGCACATATGTGCAGATGTACGTGTGTGCAAACGTGTGTAGGTGTGTGGACGTGTGTGGGGGGTGTGCATAGGCATGTAGGTGTTTGCACATACATGCAGGGGTATGTGCACATGTGTGAGTGTGTGCACATGTGCAGGAGTGTATGCACACACACAGAGGTGCTGCAGGTAGGTCTGTGTGCACACACATGTAGGTCACATGTAGGTGTGAGTACACATGCAGGAGTATGTGCACACACGTGTAGGGGGGTGTGCACACATATAGGGAAGTGCACACAGGTAGGCGTGTGCACATACGTGTGGTGAGTGTGCTGTGTGGCCACAGTTCCAAGCACACGTGTGTGTGCCCCAGTGACACTGCACATGGCAGCACTGTGTGTGACCGTGTGTTCCACGCACATGCATGTAAGCCTGTGTGCACTCAGCTGTACTGCTCATACCTGTTTGTGCACACATGTGCAAGGGTGTGAGCGTGGCTGTGCCCTGTGTGCTCAACACTGCATGCCAGCGTGCATGACATGCATGTACATGGGCAGGCTTGGCTGTGCTGCATGCCCACTGGACTGCACATGCACAGGGGTGCACGCGTGTCCATATGCACACATGTGCAGGGAGCCGCGCTGTGTGTGTGCTCAATGCACACGCAGCTGGCTCTGCTGTGCGTGCACATCCCACGTGTTTCTGTCAGCACGCATGGCTGTGCCCCACGTGTGTGTGTGTCTGCACACACGGCTGTGCCCCACAGCACACAGGGCTGTGCCGGGGCACAGAGGCTCAGGGAGGTGGGTGGGTGCTCACCCCTGACGGAGCCGCCGGCGGACACGGCGTGGCGGCGCTGGTAGAAGAGGATGTAGGCGCTGCGGGTGCTCACCTCCGCCTCCCGCACCCCCTCCACGCGGCTGTCGTCGTAGCTGTACCACCGCCCGTCCAGGGCGTTGCAGCAGTAGGCTGGGGGTGAGGGGGGCACAGGGTGAGGGAGGGGTGCAGGCTCTGTCCTGGGACAAACACACTCCCCCGCACCTCCAGGGTGCAGTGGGGAGCAGGAGCAGAGACACGGTGGGGGAGCAGGACGCTGCTGGGGTGCCTGCCCTGGGGTGGCTGCAATGCCATCCTGTATGTCCCCTGCACCCCAGCTCCCCTCTGCCTTGCCCCATGGTCTCCCAAACTCCATGGCATGGTCCTCCTGTGATGTTCCCCAAACCCCACGCAGTGCCGCCCACAATGTTTTTGCCATGCCCAAAGGCACACCCTTCTCCAGCGCCCCCACCCTCATGCTTTACCCTACGGCACAGCTCCCACACTGCCCCCACACCCCACCCCATGCCCCACACCACAACCCTGCAAGGCACCCCCAGCTCCGTGCCATTCCCCGCGGCATCCCCAGCCGTGCCCCTAAACCCCACACTGTGCCCCACAGCACGCTCTTCGAGGTGCCCCCAAACCCCCACGTTGCCCAGCAGTTTGCCCCCCCACCCCCACGCCGTGCCCCGCACTCACCGGTGTAGTGCCCCCCCTGCATGCTGCCGTGGTGGTTGCAGACAGCGTACAGGTCGTAGAGGTAGTCTCGGGGGCAGCCCGGGGGCAGGCGGAGGGGGGGCTGCCAGGGCGCCCAGCGCCCCAAGAGCTGCCCCCCGGGCTGGCCCCGCTGCGCCACGTGGGGGGCCATGTCGAGCCCCCGCAGGGGGAACCTCACCAGCGTGGTGAGTTTGTGCCGGTGCTCGGCCACCTGGCGGAAGCGCTTGAGGTGGATGATGAGGATGTCGGGCAGCGTCCAGAGGCTCAGCTTCACCGTGCCCTGCTGGGGCACCTTGCAGTGCGGGCAGCGCCAGGCGTCGTCCGGGGCCAGCTGGGGACACCACGGCGCCATCCTCAGCACCCCCGTGCCACCTCCACCGGCATCTCACACCCCCACAGCCGCCGCGCCACGGGCGAGGCCCGGTCCTGGTGGTGGCTCTGCCGGGCGTGGGCAGGGAGCAGGCACCCACGCGGGTGTGGGGTGCCCTGTACCTGCTCCTCCTTGGTGTAGAGCTGGAAGCACTCGTCCAGCGTGCAGCTGTGCTGCTGCCGGTGTGCCTGCTGCTGCAGCCGCACGCTCTCCGCGTCCTGCACCACCTCCTCCTGGATGTTGCCGAAAAGGCTGGGGTGGAACACACATGATTCCCGTCAGGGAGGGTGGCCTGAGTGCTGGGCTGGCCCCTCCCACCCTGGGGGCAGGGGACTCACCGCTCTTTGGTGCTCATGTCCCACTCCACCGTCAGCTTCACATGGGGGGGGCCGCCTGCCCCGCTCAGCTGCAGGGCTCTGGGGGGGAGGACGAGGCGAGATGTCCCCCCAAATCCCCCGTAACTGTGGGGCCACCTCCTTGCCCACTTGTGGTGGCAGGCAGGGACAGCCACCACCTCCCCGTGCAGCACCCACAGTGGGGACACTGGGCTGGGGACACAGTGCTGGGGGAGCAGGGTGACCACCACTGTGGCTACCCACGGTGGCACCACTGGCCATCCATGGTCACTGGAAAACCACAGGGACACCTTTGGCCGCCCATGGCCCATGGACAGCACAGCCACCACAAGAACACTGCACTCATCCATGGTGCAGCCACTGGCCACCCCCAGGGAGTGAGGGGACATCCTGGGGACAATCCCAACGCTGCAGTGCCCTTACCTGTCGATGGCAGGGTGGCAGAGAGGGCGGGGGTCCTGCGGGGACAGGTAGATGCAGGGGGCCGAGCCCCCAGCCAGGCGGATGCGGAAAAGGGCTCCTGTTCCCTGCGAGGGGAGAGGGGGCTGTGGGGATGTGGGGGGGACAGAGCCTCCCCTGGCCCTACAGCAGCACCTGTGGGAGCCAGGCTCTGTGACATGGGACACAAAAACACTCCAAAAACTGGATTCCTTTGGTCCCCAGGGCTGGGTTGGCAGGGGACATCCGTGGAGCCAGGGACGTGGGGCTGGGGGATGACCTGCCCCACTGGATGTGGATAGCTGGGGGGCAAAGGGGCAGCACGGGGACCCCAGTTCCCATGGGATGGTGGCACCTGGGTGCTGGCGAGTGCAGCTGGGCTGGGGTGGCTCTGCTGTGGGAGCTGGGCAGTGCTGCAGCCACACACAGTGATGCTGTGGCCACCTGATGAGATAACCCCCACGGCCACCACGGACACCCACAGGGACACTTTGGTCACACACAGTGACACCGCTGGCTGCCTGTGGTGAGAATATGACCACCCACATGGACAGCAGGGCCACCCACAGTGACCACCAGCGTCAACAGCACAGCCACTCCAGGGCCACCACAACCACCCCTGGTGACCCTTCAGCCAAGCACGGCTCTACCATGGCCACCTAGGGTGTCACCACAGACAGAGACGGTGCTGCCATCGCCACCCACAGCTCCACCAGGGCCACCCAGGGAGACCCCACAGCCACATGTGGCTCCACCCCTGCGGTCACCCCTGTAGCCAGTGCCAGCAGCCCCAGGAGGGCACAGCAGTGTCCCCACCCCGCAGCTCACCTGTGCCCGCACCTCTCCCCGCAGCAGCGCCCGCAGCTGGGCCAGGATGCTCTGCTGGAGCTGCTCCCAGGAGATGCCCCGCTCCTCCCGCAGCACCAGGGGCGGCCCGAACCTGGGGACAGGGGGGGAGACACCAGGCTGAGGGGCACAGGCGGCTCCGGGGGGACACCCCGCGCCCCGTCCTGCGGGGGGAGGGCAGGGCGGGGTCGTGGGACGGGTGACGGTACCTGGCGAGCTGGGGGCCGGCGCCCGCAGTGTTGCAGAGCAGCAGCAGGATGCGGCCGCCCGGCCCGCGGTGCAGGCAGTCGGAGGAGCGGGCAGCGGCGGGCGGCAGGCGCGGCCCCTCCGGCCGGGCCACCCCGGGGGACGCGGGCAGGCTGCGGGGGCACCCTGGGCAGGGCGGGGGCACGGAGGCGCTCTCGTTAATTAGTTAATTAATTAGTTAATTAGTTAAGTAACTAATTAACTAGCCCATGCTGGGTCCCCGGCTGTGCTCCCCTGCCTGCAGCGCTGCCTGCACCCCGCGCTTCCCACCAATCACAGCCTGGGGGGCTTGGCCCCCCCACCAATCACAGCAGAGCACACCCGCATCCAACCAATCATGGGAGAGGGGCAAACAAGATCTCATCCAATCACAGCAGAGAGCACACAGCTCCCGCCAACCACAACTAAAGGGATCCATTTCCAACTCATCCCAGCAGAGATTTCCAACCAATCCCGTCTCCCCCAAACCTAGCGGAGCACAGATGCCTCTGACTGATCCCAGCACAGGGGATCCACCTCCCAACCAATCCCAGCAGAGCGGATCCACCTCCCCACCAATCCCAGCAGAGCGGATCCACCTCCCCACCAATCCCAGGGGCACTCCCACCCCAGCCCAGCCCAGCTCCAATCCCAGCGCGGCACGAGCTGCTCCCAACCAATGGGAGCAGCGCAGGCCTGCAGGCAGCAGCCAATCCGGGCGCGGGGGCGGTACCTGCGCGGCGGGCGGGGGGCGGCTGGAAGGCGTAGAGAGGAGCCCCCTCCCCGGCACCTCCCAGCTCCTCCTTGTCCCCCAGCGAGCGCAGGAAGCCCCGCGGGGACACCTCGGCCAGGATCACCTGTGGGATGGCACCCAGCACCCTCAGCATCCCTGATGGGTGTGGGGGGTGCGTCCCCCCACCATGTGTGTCCCCCCGTTACCTGCTCCGGGGGGATGCACCCCTCCCGTGCCACCATCTCCCGCAGGTCAGCCACGGTGCCCAGCAGCGGCACGGCCAGTCCCACCCGCACGAAGCGCCAGCGCTCGCACTGCAGCACCAGGGTGACGTTGAGAGCCCTGGGGACACCACGGGGACACGCTGACACGCCTCGGCCGCGGGACACTCAGCTGTGCTGAGACCCGAAACCGCTCACGGCCACCACTCTGGCCACAACGACCCCCTGCAGCACCACAGGCTGGGGACAGGCTGGGGAGACAGGGCCAGGTAGAAAGGGACCTGGGGGGACTGACTGACAGCAGCTGAACATGAGCCAGAGTGTGCCCAGGTGGTCAGGAAGGCCAATGGATCATGGCCTGGATCAGGAACTGTGTGGCAGCAGGAGCAGGGCAGGGATTGTGACCCTGGACTGGGCACTGGTGAAGCCTCACCTCGAGTGCTGTGTCCAGTTCTGGGTCCCTCAGGTCAGGAAGGACATGGAGGGGCTGGAGCAGGTCCAGAGAAGGGCAACGAGGCTGGGGAAGGGTCTGGAGCACAAGTGCTGTGAGGAGAGGCTGAGGGAGCTGGGGGGGCTCAGCCTGGAGAGGAGGAGGCTCGGAGGGGGGTCGGGCTCTGCTCCCAGGAACCAGCAGGAGGACAAGAGGGCACAGCCTTGAGCTGCCCCAGGGCAGGTTTAGGTTGGACATTGGGAAGTTCTTCCCAGAGAGAGGGATCAGACACTGGAATGGGCTGCCCAGGGAGGGGGTGGAGTCCCCATCCCTGGAGGTGTTTAAGGACAGACTGGATGTGGCATCAGTGCCATGGTCTGGGTGACAAGGGGGTGTTGGGTCACAGGTTGGACTGGATCATCTCAGAGGTCTTTTCCAACCCAGTTCATTCTGTGATTCTGTGACCCACTGGCACAGCAGCTCCATCTCCGGGCTGGCAAACACCCCATGGACACAGCTCCTACAGTGGGTTGCTGTCACCCATCCCCAGAGCTGCCCCCAACTCCCACATCAATTATTTACCCCAAATTATGTCAATGACTCTGTCTGGAGCTGACACCCTGCCGGGAGGTGGGTGTACCCCTCATTTTACCACAATTGGGGAGGGGTGGGTGGGGCTCACCTGGTCTGGCGCAGGGGGATGGGCAGGGAGATGCACAGGAAGGGGTCGAAGGTGTTGCTCTGCTTCAGGCAGTGAGGGCACGTCAGGGAGGACCTGTGAAACATGGATGGGGACCATCATCAGAGCAGGCACAGGGTCCCCCAGAGCCCCCAGCCTGGGGCTGCAGTGCCCTGTCACTGGTTCTGCACCCTGGGTACCACAGCCCACAGAGCTCGGGTGGTCCCAGCATCACACCAGATTGGCATGAACCTCCTGCCAGGGTGAGGCACCCCAGCCTGTCCTGCCTGCCCAACCCAGTGGGCTGCTCAACTCTGAAACCTAACAAGGGCACCCACAGTAACTGGTGCTAGAGAAGTCAGAGAGAAATGCCAGGGCTGGGGGATCTCCCACTCTCATGTATGCAGCCCCAAAATTCCCCCACATCCTGCACCCTCTGCCAAGGGCTGGCAGAGTCTGGGGTGGTTTCTGGCTCCTGGGGGCTTGGAGTTGACCCCAGACCACTTGGGTTAAGCAGGGACAATGCCTTGGGGTGCTGAGAGGAAGAAGACCCCTGCTGATAAGCAGGGCTGTGGCTGGGCTGCAGGGAGGAGCAGTGATGGGTAGCAGAAAGACATCTGCCTGTGACAAGCCCCAGGGTGCCACCACAGCCCTGGGACTGCCAGCTCTGCTCACCCAGGCTCTGCCTGGATAAACCACCATCTCCAGGGGAGCCCTGGGGACTCATCTGCTGTGTTGGGAGGTCACAGGGCCACTCTGGAGGAGCAGGTCCCCTTGGAAGTAGCGACCATCCCATATCCCACTGGAGACTGGCTTAAGTGAACCTTTAATGCCAACCATCACCTTACCACTGATTCCTTTTTAATTCTGTTGGGTTTATTACATTTTTCCTTTTCTCCCACCTTTATATTCAACAGAAAGGGGGAAAATAAATTAAAAACCCAAACTGAAATAGTGAATGCTTGTTATTTGTCACCTTGAAGAGCCACTGAGCTCCCCGGGAAGCAGCCACACAAATTAATAAATCCCTTTGCACACACACAGCTCTGACACAGGGAAGGGTGGATAATTAAGGTGCCTTTTTTTCTATATATAGGACGAGGGATTAATTGAGAGAGGAGGAAAGGCTTGTGACGTCAGATGCATCCCCTCATGCCTGCAGTGCCACGGCACAGGCACAGGGTGGCCACACGCTGGCCCTCCCAGCATCCTGTGAGTCTCAGAGGGATGAACATGTGGGATGTCCCGTGCAGGGACACCCTTACGCTGGACTGCTGGGACAGGCTTGGGAAAACCCCAGTCCTGAGCCCTGTGACAGAACCACAGAATGGTTTGGGTTGTGAGGGACCTTCAAAGACCATTCCATCTGCACACAGCCCCCTCCCCTTCCCGCAGGGACACCTTTCCCTAGCCCAGGTTGCTCCAAGCTCTGTCCAACCTGGCCTTGGACACTTTCTGCCCATGGAAGAAGCAGCTCTGGTGCCTGGGCTGGGTGGGATGATGGGATGGATGGATGGATGGACCCCCTCCCTGTCACATTCCTCCCCTCACAGGAGGGTGAAGCCCCAGTGGGGCAGGATCCAGCCCTGCACTCACCTGTACTGCGCTTGGAAGTGGCTCTGCACGAAGCTCTGCCCCCGGGGGTGCTGGGCAGCTGTCGGGGACCGGCTGGCACTGCCACTCCTGTCCTTGCCAGGCTGGGGGGACAAGAGACAAGTGGGTGAGTGAGGTGCTGGGGTGACCCCCCACCCTTCAGGCGCTGGGGACATGTCCTAGTGAACCAAGGCCAGTTTTGGTGTCCCCATGGCACAAGGATGGGCTGGAGGTGATGCCAAAGTGACCCTGGCACCTGCCTGCCTGGCACTGCTGTGCCTTCCAGGCTGCCTGTCCACCTTCTCCTGGGGAATCTTTGGGGTACATCCCATCCACCAGCAGCACAGGGCACAAAGGGTTAATGAAGAATTTGCAGTGGTGGAACCCCCAGGGGTCACCCAAAGCAGCCCCAGCGTCCAGAGCTCCTGGACACTGAGGAACTGGAGCTGGGAATGCATTCAAGCCTGGCTGAAAAGCTCCAGGAGGGAAATCCTGGGTGAGCCACAGCAGCACCCCAGTGGGGGAAAAGCTTGGGGGTGGGGGAAAGCTGGTCCCGTGTAACATCCCCCCCAGGGAGCCCCAGTGCCCACGGGCACATCCCAGCCAGCAAACACGCCCGTGGACGCTGGGAGCTGGGGCACGGGTGGGTGTGGGATGGTGGAGGCTGCAGCAGTGCCTGTGTTCATGTCCATGTGTGTCTCCATGGGAGATGAGCTCCTGGAGCAGGTGTGCACATTCCTGGGCACGCACCCGCCCGGGGGGGACAGGGCTGGGTGCCAATTAACCGCAGGCAAACCCCCAGACCGGGGGAGCTCAGCAGAGGCCGGGCTGGCGCGATGCCCTGCCGGGCAGGTGGGCTGCTGCGGGCTGTGGGGTGCCCAGAAACCAGCCCTGCTGCTGCTGCTGAGTGTTTCCCCAGCAGCAAGCCCAGGCACAGCACCCAGCGTGGCACCTGCCACACCAAGTCCAGGCACAGCACCCGGCACTCTGAGCCCGGGCAGGGCTCCTGGCACAGCACCCAGCACTCCGACCCTGCCCCAGAGCAGGGCTCTCGTGGGTCTGTGAGGGTGCAGGTGGTGGGCACAGCGCCTCTCTGACACCTGAGATGTGCCCCAGGGACACCAAGAAGAGCAGAGTCTTCTGCTCCACTCCACAGGGAATAAGGACACTGGGATGTGACTGTGCCTGGTTAGGTGACACCCCCCTGCCTGCACCCTGCCTGCCCCCCACCCTGCCAACCACCAGGAGCCCCACGTCAAGGACAGAAGCCACTGACTTCACCCCCAGAGCCCAGTGACAAAAGAGATGCTGCAGAAAGGAGTGTTGGTGGCTTGGGAAGAGATTGAGTTGTTTTGGGGTAAGACAGTGAGTTTCTGGTGTTGCAATGAGTAAGACTGAAAATAACCGGGTATTTGGCCAGGAAGTGGATTTTCCTCATGCCATCTGCTGGCACCAGGTCCTGCTGAGCCTGACGTGTCCTTAAGATCTCTGAGGGGCTGGGGTCCATCTGGTGTGGATGAGAGGGGACCTGGACCATGTCTGTGCCCTACACAGCCCCCCAAACCCCCCCAAAACCTCCCCCTGAAGCCCTCCCAGCAGCCAAGCCTTGGTCCCCACCACAGCCAGCTGGGTGCCACAGCACACACCTCGTGGGCCAGGAGGGTATTCCCAACCCTCCAGCCTGTCCAGCTCTGATCTCCTCACTTTCTGCTTCCCAGCAGCTGAGCTCCCCAGCCCCTGAGCCTCGGGATGGGCTTGACCAGGAGCAAATTGTCTCGCCATCCCCACCCGTGGGTATGTGCACCCACCCTCCTCCTCCCCAACACTAGGACAGGTATGTGTGTGCCCACCTCCACCCAGACACTTCCAAGCCATTTATCCTGGGAGGGGCACCCCCTCCCCAAGGACACAGGTGTGCAGGTGCCACTCAGGTGGCACCCCCCAAGAGTGGGGAATGCCAAACAAAACCACAGATGCTGAAGGACAGACAAAGGGCCCCATCCCCAGAGCCAGGCAGGTGCCCTGGGCATTGCATGGGCAGCTGAGGACACTGCTGGTGTCACACCACAGCCCATGGCACATGTGGGCACCTTGCATTTAACACACGAACAACGGGAGCTGCCAGGCTCTCGCAGAGAGCCTCCCAGGAAAGGTGGCAGGGCTGAGGACAGCCCAGCTCAGCACAGGGATGGCTGCAGGACCCTGGCCAAGCAAGGCTGGGAGCCACAGGGCTGCCCCAGCCAGAGGCTCTAGAGATGGGCACTGCAGCTGAGCCCTCCCCTGTGGGACAGAGCTGTGCCCACGGCAGGCTGGAGGCTGGGCAGGGGCTGCCCATGGGGACCCTGACCTGCACCCTTGGCCACAGCCACGACACCCAAAGCAGGAGGAAGCTGGTCCCAGGCTCCCTGGGCATCACCCATCACCTGGGCATATCCCTCCCAACGTGGGCATCGCCCCCAAAGTGGGGACAGCACTCTGCTGAGCTGAGCTGACGTGGCAAATGCCAACGGCACAGATCCACTCACTGCAACAGGCAGCACCCGGCAGGGAGGGAGGGAGGGAGCAGGGAAGGAGCTTGCAGGAAGCAGGAAGGCAGGCAGGGAGGGCCAAGGCCAGAGCAATGCCTGAGCACAGATGGATAGAGGGAGACTTAATTACTCATTTTGCCAGCAGCAAAGCCGCCGAGCTGTAATTACAGCGGGCTTAGCTGGAGGCAGGGAGGGATGGGGGGGGGGCTGGATCTCCTCCTCATCAAGCAGCCCCAAGAACCAGGATGCCCACTGGAACTGGGATGCTCCTGCTGACACCCCCACACTCTCCCAGCACCCCAACCACCCTGCACACCCCTCCAGCACCCAGATCCCGCCACAATTCCACTCACCCACCGACCAAACCTCATCATCCATATCCCCATCCACACCGGGGTGGGGTGAGCTCCAGTCCCACTGCCTCCCAGGACATTCCAGCTTCCCCGCTCCCAGACCTGGCCCGAACACCTTCCCCCTGAGCCAGGGTGTGCAGCCACCCCGGTGGGGTTACCCACCTCCTGGGGGCTGCGGGTCTGCTGGGCGGGGGAGGCAGCCCCCAGGTCCTCGTGCATGCGGTCCAGCAGCCAGAGCAGGAACTCGAGGGCGTCGTGCTGAGCGTTGCCCCGGAACTGCGAGCTGTGCTTGGAGACAATGTTCTACAAGAGATGGGCAGGGCAGGGGTGAGCCACGGACCGCGCTGCTGGGCACTAATGAACAGATACCTCGTTAGCACCCACCACAAAACCCACCCCTGCTCCATCCCTGCAGCAGCGCCTGCCCTCATTCTGCCTCTAGAGGGACATCGTGGCCTCGGGGACAGCAGAGAGGTGGGGACACCAGCACACCAGCCGGCAGCTCCATGCCCATCACCGTGTTGTCCCAGCTGCTGGCATGAGGCTCGGAGGGGACAGCTTGCTGTGGCTGGGCACAGAGCACAGCCCATATGAGCCAGACCAGCCCACGGGGACCCACCAGGGCTGGGAATGCCATGGGGCTGAGGTGATATCCAGGGAGGATAAGGTGCCACTCACCAGGGTGACATCAGGTCACCAAGCCAGCTCCCTTGCCAAGTCAGCCAAGCTCCCTGAGGTGCTACATGCCCGTGGTTTGGGTGGCCCCAGGGTATGTGCCACCAGCAGATGCCAACAGCCCATGAGAGCTGTGCATGCACATGCCAGGATGGGTCCCTAACCCCGAAAAAGCAGGATGCATAGGGGTGTGGAATCCCTGTGGGAAGCCCCGGGAGCACCCCAAAAATCAGAGCTGGGTGGCTCCCCAAGGACTCATCTCCAAGTCTGGGCTGGTGGTGGCTCCTCAGAGGACAATTTTAGGAGCTAAGCCCCAAACCCAGCACCAGGAGGGAGAAAGCCTGACCATCTGTGTGGATTTTAACCAGGTGAAATCCCGACCATCTGTGCTGATTATAACCAGCATGTTGGGACCTGCTGGGATAGGGATCAAACCTCCAGCATCGCTGGGAAACACCCCAAGCCAAGACCCCTCTGGCCATCACTCTGCTTGTCCCCAGCCCTGCTCCCAGCAGTACAACCATCCCACTACAAGCAGAGGGAGCAAGGCCACCACGGATGGGCTTCCAGAAAAAACAAGTCGCAGACCTCGGCTCTAAATTTTAAAATCTCACTTGGGTGGCTTTAAAAAATGAGGTGGAAATTCGTGGCAGCTGCAGGTAACCACCGGGAAGGAGGGAATGCAAAGCAAAGGCTGGAAGTCTGAGGGTTTTTTTTTTTTTTTGATCTGTGCCTAAGGAACGTGTGTGTTCAGGAGCAAAGGGCGTGGGATTGTTGTGCCCAGCAGCACACGAGCTGGTTGCTTTGCTCCAGGGCTGTCAAAGGCAATGAACTCCTGCAGGAGCACCCTGTGGGGTGGGTGCTGCCAGCCTCCAGGCCGGGAAGGGAGGAAGAAAGGACACCCCTGGAAAGGGAGGGCAGAGAAGTGGGTACCCCAGGCCTTACGCATGCAGATACAGACTGGCTGCTTACCCCAGGGCAGGGCCTGGCTTTCCACTTTGCAGAGTTCAGGCCCCTGCTGAAATGTCAGTGGGACACGTGTCCCTGAGCGTGGGGAGCTGTGGTGCCAGGCTGCATCTGTTGTCCTGTGCCTGACACCCTGTCCCTGTCCCCAGCTGAGTGCAGGTCCCCAGCACAGTGGCATGTGCCCAGCAGGGATGTGACACACTCAGTGACAGGGCCTGAGGCCACTGAGTTGGGCTCCCAGGGCACTGTCCTGCCTTACCCCACCATCACAGCCAGCTCACCCTTATGGCCCAGTGGCATGGCCAGGGCTGGGAGCCCACCCACCACGGGAGCTCAGAGCTCAGGTAACAGCAGCCCAGCCACAGAGGGGTGATGGCAGCAGGGCTGGGAGGTGTCTGGCAGGGCAGGGTCCATGGGGAGGATGAGGCAGGGGAGTGAGTGATGTGAGCAGAGGGTGCTGTGGGTGCTGCAAGAGATGCTGATGTGCCCTGTGAGCTGGGGGTGCCAGTGGGTGCTGAGAGTGGGGGGATGCTGGTGAGTCCTGTGAGCAGGGGTTGTTGGTGGCTGCTGGGAATGGTGCTGGATGATGGGTGGTGCTGCTGGGTGCTGAGAGGAGGGATGCTGGTAAGTGCTGTGAATGGGGAGTGCTGCTGGGTGCTGGGAGTGGGGGGATCCTAGGAGTGGGGGGATGCTGTTGGCTTCTGTGAGCTGGGAGTGCTGGCAGGGGTGTCAGAGGGTGCTAAGGGGTGGGGGGAGTGCTGGCAGGTGCTGGGAGCAGGAGATGCTGGTGGAGCCCGTGAGCTGGGCGTGCCCGTGGGCACCAGGGTCTGAAAAAGGTGTCAGTGGGTTCGGAGGGGGAGCTGCTGGGCGCTGTGAGCTGGGGATGCCGCTGGAGGCTGGGGATGCCGCTGGGGGCCGGGGTCACTTCGGGACGCGCGGGGCGGGTCCGGTCGGTACCTTGAACTCCGCGGAGAGCTGCGGGGTGTAGTCGCGGGTCCAGAGGGCTCGGACCAGGGCCGCCAGCCGGTGGGTGACCTCGGCGCGGGCCCCGCGGGCGCGGTACCGGCCCAGCGCCAGGCGCTCGGCCAGCGGCGCCGTGTTGCTCAGGCACTGCACCACGGCGTTCATGAAGCAGGTGTTCCCGTGGTTCCGCAGCCCCTGCGCGCCCGGCGGCCGCTCCCCGCCCGCTCCCGCATCGCCCCCGCACCCCCGCCGCCGGGGCCGCCCCGCCGGGCCGGCGCCGCTCCCCGCCGCGGAACCCGCCCTCGTCATCCTCCGGGGCGGCTCGGCGACCCCCGCGCCCCCGGCCAGGCGCGCCCAGGTGCGGAGCAGCCGCCCGGCCAGGCTGCCCAGCGAGCGCAGTGCCCGCCGCCGCCGCCCGCCCCCGCCCGGGGCCGCCCCGCCGGGCTCGCCCCGCCGCCCCCGCCTGGGGCCGCCGCCGCCCCCGGGGCCGCCGCCCGTGCCCGTCCCCGCCGCGCTCATGGCCGAGGGCGGCCCCAGCCCTGCCCCGGCCCCTGCCGGCCCAGCCCCGGCCCCGCCGCGGCGCTCATGGCCCCGGGGAGGGCGCTGGGCGCCGCCGGTGCCGGTGCCGGTGCGGGGCCCGGAGGGGCCGGGCGGGAGGTTTTGTGCGCGGCCGGCTCCTCCCCCGGCCGGGCTGGCTCGGGAGAGGGAGAGGGAGACGGGAGGAGGAGGAAGAGGGAGCGGAGAGGAGGAGGAGGAGGAGGAGGAGGAGGGGGGAGAGCGGGGAGCTGCCGCTGGCGGCGCGGACGGCCGAGCCCCGCCTGCCTGGTGTCCCCAGCATCACCCTGGGGTGACCCAGCCCTCTCCCTCCTCCACGGTCCCTGGATTTTTCCAGGAATCCCGGCCATGCTCCGTGGGTGCTGCCCTGCTGCCCTCAGCATCACCTCAGGCTGACTGCGAGATGCCCCAATTCTGCCACCTCTGGATGCTCTCAGCTGGGACAGTGGGACAATGGTCCCCTCTGCACCCACATAACGAGGGTTCCTCCACACAGAGCCACAAAACAAGGGTTGTCAAACCAGCACTGTCAGAGCCTGGAGGCTTTGCCCACCTCCTGCCGACCCTGCATCGTCTGGCATCACACTCAGGTGGTCATTGGGGTCTGGCAGAGCCTGTCTGGGGAGGGATGGTGCCTCCTGAGCCTTCCCTGTGTGGTGGGAGGAATGAAGGATGTCCAAAGCCACCAGGTCAGCTCCTTCCTCTCCACCTACAGCACCTTCAGCAGAGGAAACCCACTGTGGGGCTTACAGGCGGCTTTCAGATGGATTAGAGCCCTGGTCCAGCTGGACCTGTCCCATAGCACCATACCAGCACAAGCAGGGGATCTGCAGCAGGACCAGTTGTTTCTGCAGCAACTTGCCTTCCACTCACCCACAGCCCCACAGCAGCACATTTCTCTTCAAACAGCTCTGGGGGACTCAAATTGCCTAAATCAGTGCAGCTACATGAGGCTGGGACCTGCATTCCTCTGCCAGCAGCCCCAAGATGAACTCTCACCCAGGACTGCTCTGATGGCTCCCACCAACCCTCTGGGATAACAGCCTGGAGCAGAGGTGGGAGGCTGCAGAGCTGCCCAGGGTGCCAATGAACCCTGGCACACCCCAGCAGCTGCTGTCCAGGGCCACAGGGCTGGGAAGGGACAGAGCAGGAGGGGGGCCCTGGGGGGGGCTAAACTTGATTTTAGATGCTGCAGGCTCTTCCACCCCTGCAGGCATTGGCAGCATCCATCAGCATCTCCCTGTGTCCCAGGGAAGGATCTGCTGTGCCAGGCAGCATTCCCACCACCTCCCCCGCCCTGCAGAGGAATGAGGCACCACCAGCACCTCAGGCACAGGGATGTGCTGCAAGCCCTGCCCTGGACACAGCTGGTGATGACGTGGCTTCAGAAGAGATGGAGCAAAATGATGGAGGAAGGGCCAGGATGTCATGATCCCTCCTCCCTGCAGGCCGGGTGTCCCTGTGTCAGGGGCTGTGAGCTCAGGCGAGGTGGTGGCAGGGAGATGGTGACTCCCCTGGGGGGCACCGGGCTGGCAGCTGTCAGTGTGGTGGGCACAGAGGAGAGCAGAGGGCTGTGTGCTGCCACTGGGGCCAGGAGTGATCTCAGACTGAATCCATCGTGTCCTGGTGATGCTGAGCTGATGGAGGGGGATCAGCCACCCGTGGATCCTCTGAGGATGGCTCTGCCACAAGTGATCCCTGCTTACCCACAGAGGAGAGAGGGCTGAGCCCAGCTGAAGTTTTCCTCCCACCAGCAACCAGCCCTGATGGGTACAGGATGTCCCCCAAGAGCCTGGCACTGGTGGGGTGGACCCCTGCCAGGCCTCCCAGGGAAGCAGCCTCCTTCTAGGAGTTATCCAGATCGCTATCCCGGGGGTGCTGCTGCCCTGGGGCCAGCCTGGGTGCTCAGCCTTTCCTCCCAAGGAGGTGGGAATGATGGTGGGAAGCAGCCCTGCCTGGTGGGGTGGAGCCCACCCTTGGGTGGCCTGGGCTGGTGGGATGGGGCGTGGGGGTTCTGTGCAGGATCTGGTCCTGGATAAACCCACTGGCGCTGTGTTGGCTCACTGCTCCCAGCCTGGCTAAGGAAAGCTGTTGGCACTGTGCTGCCCCAGGCAGTCAAGGAAGTCAGCACCAAAGCTGAGCAAAAATTCCAGCTACAAACATCCCCAGGTTCAGAGGTTTGATTCTTGAACTGGCTCTGAACCCACAGTAAAAGCTCATTTCTCAGCATCCTCCTGGCCAGAGAGCTGTGAAATCCATCTTTATCCAGCCAGTAGATAAAATGCTCTTGTGGGAAAGACATCCTCAATATTAGGCTCCCTTAACCTATACAAAGGTCACAATCCATAAAGCAAAGTCCTGAGCACTCCCTGGGACCCCCAGCAGATTCCTGGCCCCACTTACAGGCCCATCCACTGCAAACCCTGCTGTAGACCCTGAGGAGATGGAAACTGGGATCTACCAGAGCATTTTCATGAGGACATGTGGATTTTTTTACTCTGAATTATTTAACAAAGGCAGGTTGTGCTTCACGCAGTGTGGGAAGAAGGGGTTTATCGGATCTAGAAAACTCCCAGCTCATTGAAAAGAAAAGTACTTGTTGTTTCTCTCTGGTTGGTTTTGGCTGGACACTCAAGCCCAGCAGCATCCCACACGAGCCAGAACAGCAGTGGTGGGAGTGAGGGAGGAATCCCGAGCAGGGTTTAATGCTGAGCTAAGTGGAACCAGAAATCCAGAGCAACTCGTTAAAGGAAGTGAGGAAAAACTGAAAGAAAAGGTGAGGAGAGTGGATAGTCCGAGAGGGGGGAATGCATTGAGAGAGTCAGATCAGAACCCTGTGTTTGTTGGAAGGGGATGATGGAAAGCAAGACCTGACAAACACATGAAAGGGAAATAGTCTTAAATGCAACACAGTCAAGTAAAAAAAACCCAAACCTGCCAGAATTAGAAAGTATTGGGTAATGAAAGTGGCTTTCCCAGGGCCCTGTCAGCCCCCCTAGCTGTGCCCAGCAACGCTAGTGCAGGGAATGCTGACAGCACATGTCAGCCAAGGACTTAAAAATCTGCTGGATTTTTATCTCTCAGTGTCTTTCCAAGCACCAGGCACAGGCATTCTCTGACTGGCAGCACAGCCCACCCACCCCAGTGCAGCCAGTGGTACCTTTCCAACAGGTAACACCAGTTTATTCTAATCTGAGGCAATTTGCACACCGGGGTGAGCTCCAGGAATGCTCACCACGCTAATCTTCCTTTCAATAATATTGTATTTGTGATCTTCCCTCTTCTTCAGATCATTCTGAACGTGATGCCTTCCTATTCAGGCTAAATCAAATATTTATTGGTGCTGCAGCACGACGGCACCGCTGGGTTGCGTCAGCACTTTCTCCCAAAAATGCCTTTTTTGGGATCTCCTGGCTGTCTCCAGCCTCTGCCTTTTCAGCTCCTGTTTTCTCTGTACCAGGCTTAGACTTTGGAGCAAGTGTGGAGCGGGGAAAAACTGGGAAGGGGGTCGGGGGGAAGAAGGAAAAGGGGGAAATGCTTGGTCACTATCATGGAAAATTCCTTGCCCTTATGGCATGAACTGTCCCAGTGCTTTGGACACCAGACAGCTGGAATGAATATAAAAACATGAAGAGTTTGGGTTTGATTAGGGAGACACGGTGACAGGATGGCACTAGAAATGTTCCCTCTGGCTGGGCATGAGCCTCTATGCCAGGGAGGCACTTGGATATCGGGATGAGCACTAGGATAAAATCCTGAATAGGTTGGAGCTGAGCTGATTCAGGCCCGAGAGAAATCCATTTTCACGCTGCCAAATCATAATGGCAATAACAAAAAAAAGAGAAATCTTCCTACATGCTCGCTGGGCTTTGCCACAGGACAATGTTTTCTTTCTTTAAGCCTCTCCCGCTCTCTTGGCACGGGCTGGGAACATCTGTGCGGCGGAGTGGAAACCGCTTTCAACAACCCCCATCTCGCCGCCAGGGCTCGCAGCCCGCGGGCAGGTGAGGGGGGAGGCAGCGCGGCTCTGGGAGCACCAGCCTGCTCTGGATGCTGGCCACCTCGCTGTCCCTCTCCCTGCCTGCCCCCCTACCCTTTCCCTGCCCGCATCTCTTCCCCTCTCCTCCCTGCACCTCTGCCCCTCTCTCTGGCTGTGCCTCTGCCCCTTTCCCTACCTGTATCACTGCCCTTTCCCTGCCTGCTCCTCTGCCTCTCTCCCTGCCTGCACCTCTGCCCCTCTCCCTGCCTGCACCAGTGTGATGGCTGAAGGCAGGCAGAGGAATCTCCCCCCTGCCGAAACACCCCCTTGTTCAGCCTCTCCAAGTGGGATTAAATTATAGATAGCAAACTGAGTTGTTCAGTGCCCCGATTAAAGATGCATGGGCCCTGCCTTTTTTGGGAGTGTGTTTGAGGAGGGACAGCATCAAGGCAGGTAAAAGCTGCTTTTCCAGGGGCCTGGCCTCGTGCTGATGAATAGCCATGAACATGCTCCGTCGGTTCGGAACGTGAAGGCAGGAGATAACCCCGAGCTGCAGGAACTTCTGCACTTTGTTTGCAGCAATTTCACTCTGGTTTTAATGCATCTGTGCCATCCCTGGCCGCTTCACTGAGCAGGTGTCTCCGGGCTCTTTCCACCCATTATCCCTCTGAACTGAGATGATGGGATCTCCACAGCAGGCACCGAACCTGGAGGCAGGAAGGGGGAGCCAGGGAAGGCACATCCAGGGTGACAAGGGAGCTGTAGGTGCTCAGAG